TGGCCAGACACCAGGGAGGTCCAGAAACACCTGTTTGAGACGCTCAGATTCTTCCTCGACTCCAGGGATCGGAGGAGTCCCAGAAGGTTGAACGCTACCAAGGCAGGAGATGGGCAGAGAAGAGGCGTGAAGTTCAGGAATTAATGGTACCGCGCAGAGATGAGAATACTGGGCTTTGTGGCTCAGTTTCCCCCACCCAGGAATAAGGGGATAATTAGAGCTCCTGCCTCATTTGTGTGGTTGCGAGGATTACACGAATTCAGACCACCCGGGGAGCCGTAGACAGTGCGCACAATAAAGGCTCACCGCGGGTGCTCGGGGTGGGGGTGGGGGCGCCGGAACGGTGGCCGCGGTCGAGGCCGGTGGCCGACGCGAGGCGCTCACCGCGGTCCCCGCGGCCCTGTCCCCTGCAGGTCGGCCTCTGGAAGAGCCAGGCGGGCGCGCAGGAGGCTGGGCGCGGCGGGCCCGAAGCGGCGGCGCAGGAGCTTCGGCAGGCGCGGGGCGCTCTGGCGGTGGCCGAGGCCCGCGCGGGGCGGCTGCGCCAGGGCCAGGCCGAGGTGCGGCGGCGTGCGGAGGAGGCCCGGGAGGCGGTGCTGCGCAGCCTGGGCCGGGTGCGCGAGCTGGAGGCGCTGGCGCGACAGGTGCCGGGCCTACAGCGCTGGGTGCGAAGGCTGGAGGGCGAGCTGCGGCGTTACAGGTGAGCCGGGGGCGGAGGGTGGGGGGGTGGCGGGGTGAGGAGGGACGGCCCGGGTGCCCCAGGTCAGCTCCGGGTCTCTCAGATCTCAGGTGTGCATCCTTCCCGCACACACGCTGCATCTCCTGTTCCTCTGTTCGTTCACAACCTCTGTCCGTGGGTCCCTCCGCTCCCTCCGCTGTTCTTCCACGTCCTCGGTCATTCATGCCCTCATTCACTGGCTTTCCACTCACCCAGCCATTCACGTGCCCGCTCACGCACAAAGGCCTTCCACTTGTCCATTCGTGGGTCCCAAGAGGATATGGTTATTATTTTTATTTGTTCTTTTACCGACATAATAACGATGGTGATGATGACAGCCCACAGTCGCTGAACGCTTGATTTGTGTGCCCGGCTCTGGGCTAAGCCTCATAACAGCCCTTTGAGGTGGGTCCCACCTCATCCCTATTCTACAGATGAGGAAGCAGATGTACAATGATCCCTGGTGCTAGCCACACAGGCAGGAAGCTGGGCGTGGGACCAAGTCTCAAATCCTAGAGGCCTCTGCCAGATGTGTGACCTTGGGCAAGTCACTGCCCCCTCGTGGAGCTTCTGTTTCCCCCTCTGGCAGAACACAGATTGGAGTCCCTGCTGGTCAGGGTGGCTGTGAAGAGGCAGCAGCGTCCTGACTGGCACACAGTAGGTGCTCAGTGAACAGCTCCCTCTCCATTTTGAACCACAAGGCACACCTACTTGCCTAATATCCATGTTAACTAGGCACCGGCTGTGTGCAGAGACTGTGCCGGGTGGCAGGGAGGTGACTGGGAACAAGGCAACCCGAAGTCACTGCTCTGAAGGGCTACTACAGAGCGTGTGAGATCAGCATATGACTGGGCGAATGGTGGCAGGCCGCATGAACTGGGGGCAGAGCAGGACCTTCACCATGCTTGCTGCAGGTTCAGACAGAACCTGAGGTGACACTTGTGCTGAGAGCTGAGAATAGGATGTTATGTGCCAAGATGGGCCTGGGAGAAGAGGAGGGGAGAAGGGGAGAGTGTTCTAGAAAATGGGAACATTACGAGCAAAGCCCTGAATCAGGAGGGACCATGGCATGTTCCAGAAACTCAAAGGAGGCCAAACTGTCTGGAGGAGGAAAACTAGAGAGGCAGGCAGAGGCCAGGCCTTCCAGGGCCTGGAAGCTTGTTTGAGGGACTTTAATCTTTCCCTCAAAGAGAGCATGGAAGTTTTCAGCAAGAGGGTGACAGTGACTGATCTGCATTTTTAAAAAAAAATCATCCTGGCTACAGTTGTGACAAAGAGGTGGGAGGAGGGAGAAGAGCCAGAGACAGTGGGGAGTCCACTGAGGGGGCTATGGTCCGCCTCCAGCCTCCAGCTGGAAAGAAAGGGGGTCTGGCCCAGGCTGGTGGGCAGGGCAACCAGAAGGGGAGGCTTTGAACCTAGCCTCTTAGAGGAGGGCCTCCTCCTTGAGTTCGGAGGTGCTCACAGCTGGGAGATGAGAAGCCACAATGTGGAGAGAGGCCTCCATGAAGAGGCCCACCCTGGGCCAGCCTCCTGCAGCTCCAAATGTTTGGATAGTCACTTCCTGTTTGCATAGCTGATCGGCTCAAGCGCAGGGCTGGCTGGCTTGGGGCCCCGTGTCCAGCCTTGGAACTTTCTCCAAGAGAAGAAATAAAGGGTCTCTTCTTTGTGATACCCTAAAGTAACTGTCCTCTACAGCCTGTCGTAAGAGCCACTGTGAACATCCAGATAGCACTTCCTGGTAGAAAAGGTGGATTTGTCTCCATGGCGCCATTGAATCCTCACAAGAACTGTGCAAGGTAGAGGTGTTATCCCCATTTTACAGATGGTGGGAGGTGAGACTCTGAGAAGTGAACTAATCTACTCAAGGCCCCCCAGCCAGAAAGTGGAAAAGTAAGTTCGGCCTGCCCCTACAGCCTGTGTCTTTCTTTCTTTCCACCTTACCATTTTGTTGTTCTTGACGCACAGTTACAAGATGGCTGTCACACCCCCAGGCCTCATGTCTGATGTTCAGGCGCGAGAAGGACGGGCAAGATTGAGGGTGGGGAGGATTTTCTTCAAGTGAGCTTTGCCTTTGTGTTCAGGGAGAGATACCCCTACCCCATCAGAACTCAGACCTCCATCTCCTGGGCCAGAACTGTATCACGTGGCTGCTCCTGTCTGCAGGAGAATCTGACCATAATGATGCCCCAAACACAACTAGGTTCTCTTGGTGAGGAAAATACCTCAGCGGCCCCAAGGAGAGGCCCAGTGTATGAGAAAACTGGGAGCCAGAGATTGAGTGACATCGCATGAAGGCCACAGGCAGGCCACAGTGAGATGGCTTTGTCCTTGTTTCCCTGCCCCTGTACAAACATGCCGGCAGGAGGCAGACCTCCTCTGCCCGCTTTCTGTGGGCAGAGTTTGTGGGTTAACTTGCCCCAAAGCTCTCCTTCTTTGAAGAGAGGATGGGGAGGGCACAGAACAGCCAAGGACATGCACTGGGCATCACCTGTGTACCAGGCATGATGCCAGACCCTTTCCCCACATTCGCTCAAAGGAGCCCCTCAACTGGCCTAAGAGAAAGGTGTCATGATCTGCACTTCGCAGATGAGAAAGCCAAGGCCAGAGAAGAAGCAACTTGCTGGTGTGGCACAGCAAGTGACAAGCCAGAATCCAGACCTCAGCCCAAAGAGCCCAAAGCCATATACCCCAGGCCAGCCTGGCGACAGCGCACAAGTCCTCCCCGACTCCCTTTCTCCAGCCCTCCCCCTAAAACACCTGCAGGACCTTTCACAGCCTGCAGAGGGGCTGGAACTCAGATGTCTCCTGTCTGTTAAGCTGAAAGCCCTCCCTCTGTGGCCTGACCCATTGGGCCTGCAGTCTAGAGGAGCTGGGGGTTGGAAGACGCACCACACCCCAAAGACTAGAGCCCCAGCACGCCCTCTTAAGTGACGTCACTCTCAAATGCCTCCAGGTGTTCTGCAGATGTATCTTTGGGGGGAAAACCATGCAAGGACTAAAATCCCTCCCGGGAATGACAGCTTGAAGCCATTTGGTTAGAATGAATGACCCGACATACTTTTCCAGCCATGTCACAGAAACTGACCCGCTCTGATCTTCTCATAACAGTTGGAGGCTGGTATTATGCCACCTTTTTTCAAATGAGGGAACAGAGCCCTGGGGGTGGTCTCCTAACCAACACTTGGCTGTTTTGGCACCCTGGGGAGTCTCCCAACTCCGAAAAAACATCCTTTCCCCTTCTCTGCCATCACCTTTAAATAATATCTCAAAGACTCCCTTGCTCATTTCCTGGACTTCCACATACTTCTTTTTCAAAACCGGACATTCTTTTCCATCCCTCCCAGTCCTTGTGTTGTGGTTTCTCTCCCGTCCTTCATCTCTTTCCCGTTTAAACATTCTTCTTTTCCAGTCTCTTTGGGATTGCTGTGACATCTGAGCTCTCCCTGGTGTTTCATCTCTGCTTTCTGTGATCATGACAAGTTCTCCGTGTGCTATTGTGATCGTCCACAGCGAGCCCCTCCCTCTTTGGCAGAAGCCATGATCCTGGAGAATCCACCCATCACCAAGGTTGTGGAATTCCGTCCAGAGCTGTCCCACCAGTGCCTGATTCTAGGACAGTTTCTAATTTCATTTCTTGGCTTCAAGTTTCATAACTACATCGGGAGAAATTGAGCTCCGTACCAGCTCCATACCATCCCAAGGCCAGTAAGTAGGGTTTCTCTCACCTCTGTTTCTGGATGAGACAGCCCCTGGGGGGCCTCCAGCTTCATGCTGGAGCCTCCTTGTATGAACTCACCAGGTGAGGTCTTTAGTACCTATCCTCATTGGGCATTAGAACCCCAGTCTTGACCCCTCTCTGGGCATTTCAGGTCTATCTCCTGCATTCCATGCAAGCTGGAGGTCTTTCCTCCTTGTTATTGACCTTGGCTCTGACTTCTTTTTTTTAAGGTGTATTTATTTATTTATTTATTTGAGAGAGAGAGAATGAGAGGACAGAGTACAAATAGCAGGAGAGGGAGAAGCAGGCTCCCCCCCAACAGGGAGCCCAACACGGGGCTGGATCCCTGAACCCCTGGGATCATGACCTGCGCCAAAGGCAGACGTTCAACCAACTGAGCTACCCAGATGCCCCTTGGCTCTGTATTCTTTTAAATGGTTATATTTTGTCCAGTACTTCTGTGTATTTGTACATGGAAAGGGAACCTTCCCTAGCACCTCGATGCACCATCCTGGCCAGGAACATAAGAGAATGGACAGTAAATATTTAAGCAATAGGGATACTCACTTCTTAGTTCCACGTTTCGTATGCAGCTTCCATGGAGAAAGTGGATACCTCGGGTGACCAGAAATGGCACAGATGTCCCCATTGCCCTCGGAGGCTCTTCTGGGACCTGAGGGAAGCAGGTCATGAACACGCATGTTAGGACACAAATGTACTGGGTGCAGAGGGCCCCAGCTGTGGGAGTCCCAGATCATATAGAAGTATTCCAGGAATCAAGCGCTCTTCAGGCCTCTTGGAACCAGGCAAAAACCCAGGGGCTCACCTGACCCAGCCCAGTCGGCCAGGAAGGATCACCTGTTCCATCACAGCATCATCAACCTCTGGGCTCCCACTTCCCACAGCTGGATTCAGTCTCTTCTTCTAATCCCACAAAATCTCTCCTCCCAATACGTTTTTGAGCACAGGAGACCTTACTGATGATTTGGGGGGGGGGAGGTACAGATTACATTACAATGATAGTTTTATATGAATAGTTGACATCACGATTCATAAGATGTCATTTGACCCCACATCTAACAGGGGTGTTTCACTGTTACTTCTCCCAAACTATACCCAGCCACTCTCCACCTTTCTCTTCTCTGTTTTCTCTTTCTCCCTATTAGCCATCTCTCTTAGATAAGTGCCTGAAAGCCTGCCTCCACCTGACTTGGGTTAAAAAAGAAAGTGGTTAAAAAGGAAAGGGTAGCCATCCAGCTTCAGGCATGGCTGGATCCAGGTACTCAAATAATGTCACCAGAATATAGAAGCTCTGCTTTGCTCTCAGGGAAGTTCTTCCCCCTGGTAGCCTTTGGGGCGCTTACCTGTTCAAAGCTCTGAGTCCAGTAGAAAGATCATCTCTCATCTGAGCTGTCCCACTGAATGCCTGTAACTGGAAATTATTGAACAACTTGGAAACAGGTTCATCCCTGAATGCATCGGGGCGGCCAAGACAATTTGACATTCTGATTGGCCAAACCTTAGTCACATACCCACTCCTGGAGCCACAGCCAGTCCCATTGAACTCTGGGACTGAGCTCCCAGGAGAATCAAGGAGGAGCCTAGCCCATGCGTTTTAAACAACACAGGCCTCTATCGGGAGCCTGTGGCCTGACTCCCTTCTCTTGTCTCAAAAAACAGGCCACCTGGGGCCACTGGAGACTCTCCGGATGGTGGAGGCCCCAGGAGGACGTCTGGTAAGACACAGAACAGGCTTATCTCAAAGTTGACTTTCCCAGGGTGCTGAATGCTTTGGGCTGGCTACCGGGGCCTGCGTCCTCCCCAAAGTAGCCCATGTTGGCATTTCTCTGGGCCAGCACCCAGCCCCGGGCTCACAGTAAGGTGGCAAATGAATGGAGGCATGAGCCTGCAGCTGGACACTGACCTCACCCACATCTTGGTGAGGAGGGGGTGGGCATATGGGACCCCAGCACAAGGTGAGCCCTGAGCGAGTGGTCTGGCAGACAGACCCTGCTTCAAAGGGAGTGGTGCTCCTGGAGGAGCTGCCCTTGACTGGGGCGACTGGGGGTTTGTGGGCGTCTCCACCTTCTCTGGAAGCCCCGGGGTGTCGGCCATCTGCCTGTCCCATCTCTGCACTGAGGGACAGCCAGGCCTCCAGGACACCTGGACAGGCAGCCTGAGGCCACCACCACTGGGCTGGGCCTGGGCTCAAACTCACAGAAAAAGAGACTGAAAAACCCAGCTCAGCTGGAGCAGGGAGGAGGGGCCTCCGCCTGGGCTCTGTGGCTTTATTGTCTGGGAGGAAAAGATGAAAAGGCCTGGTTGGAGGGGGGTGGGGGGCCATGCGGGTAGGACAGTTCATTTGGCCCACCACCATGGAGGGGACACAAAGATGAGGCCGTTGGAGGCACACCTCCTTTCTTCTGCCCCAGGGCAGCAGCCCAGCCTGACCTTGGGTGGGGGGAGGGGGTGTGGGCCGAGTCAGCAGGTCAGGGGAGGGAGGCATGCAGGGGCACGGGGCACCATCTGGAGCTGGGAGGAGTCTGGTCATGGATTCCATTAGTCTTGGAAGCAGGTGTGTGGGTGGCCGCTGGTGGGAACTGAGGCCTTTCTCTCGGGGACAATACCCGGGGCTCACAAAGGGGTAGTTTGGGTCAGGCACTGGCTGCACGCTCCGGCCTGAGACCCTACACAGACAGGCGTGGCGGGTGGGGGCCTGGGCTCAGGAGGCCCAGCCTGACCGGGGTTTGAATCCTCGCTCTTCCACATATTTCCTGTGGGGCTTTGAGCCCTTCCCTTTCTCTCTATTAGCCCTAACCTCCTCATCCACCAAGTAGGCGTGAGGTCCTCTTCCTCTGGGTCTTGGGGTGAATATCCAGTGAGACATGGGGACACAGTGGGGTGTAGGAGCTGGAAGTGGCAGCAGCCCTGGGAGTGTGGCCTGCAGCAAATTATTCTCATTTCACGAGCCTCGGTTTTCTCATCTGTAAAATGGGGATGACAAGAATGTTACTACTAATAATAATATCCACTTCCTAGGGCGTATAAAGATTCAGAATGCTAATCTGTATAAAGTACCTAGCACTGAGAGAATGCTTAATAAATATTGAAAATTAGTATTATTGATCCCTCATCACAGTAACCCCCATCATCAGTAAAGGCGGTGGTGGCTGGTATTGTTAATATTGGCAGAGTCCAGCCCCTAGAGAGCCTTCTATCTGTGGAGACCCCTAGCAAACAATGGACAGTTTCAGCTGGTTGTAGACAGGATGCTAACAAAGCTGCAGAGTTTAGACAAGCTCAGAGGAGGCCTGAATGACTGGCTAGGGGTCAGGACATCTCTTGGGGGAATGCCATCATCCAAGATGGGTGTTGAAGGATGAGTAGGAGTTTTCTCAGGCATTGCAAAGGCAGATTGCTGTGAATACAAAGGCTTGGAGATGTGAAGGGCCCTGGTGCCTCCTGGAAAGAGGGAGATGTACTGTGGTGAAGGGTTCAAAGTGGAAAGTGGCAGGAGCAGAAGCTGGGAGGCAGGCAGGGGGTGGCAAAGAATCTGAGCACCAGGCCGAACATGAGGCCTTTACCCCAGACAACGAGGGAGATAGAGAAGGGCTTATGCAAGAAGCGAAGTAATCAGATTTGAGTTTCACAGATTGAGCTTCCCTCTGGCCGCATGTGGAGGACAGATCAGGCAGGAGGGATGACTAGAGGCAAGGAGGCAGGTGACGAGGATATATCTGGGTCCAGAGGGAGAGGACACAGGCCTGACCTCCAGCACCTGAGAAGGGATGGATCACCAGCCCCATACCTGGAGGCCTTGCCAGGAGCTGGGGGGAGCCTCATGCCTGCTGTTCTCTATTCCAAGACAGAGCCTTCTGCACTCCATTATTATTGTGGGCATGCTAGAAAAGCATGGAATAGACTGAGAGCTCAGACCTCAGAGATAAGAGGGTGAGCCTCCTGCCTCATGGTTCTTACACGGGTTGTGTTTATGGTGACAAGTTCAAAGGAGCCCATTTCAGGATACCACCAGGCACGGCCCAAGGTGGGTAGACAGTGTTCCGTGAATGGTTTCTCCCGACTGGTCGGGGTCCCACCAGAGCACATGAAGCCTTGAGTTGGGGGAGGAGGGGAGGGTCACCAGACCTTTTATCCCCCAGCTACCTTCCTCTGAAACTGCAGCCAGAGTTTGCAAAGCCGTCCTTAGCAAGCCACACCACCCGGATCTCAATTCAACCTCCAGGTACAATTTTGTACCGCCTCCCTGAAGCCTCTTGCCACATCGTCCACAGGTCATACACTCTGGCCCGGCATTGCCCGTAGGCGGTCACACCACACCTGTGGAAGGGTGCCATGCTGCGGGCAGCTGGGAAGTTGTCCCTAGTGCTGGATTTATCAGTTAGGGATGTTTTCAGCTACAAACTGCCGAGAACTCACCTAACAGTGGTTTGAATATATTGGGGGTTCCTTGTCCACACCTCATCTAGAAGTCCGGGAGTGGCTCCACAACCCTAAGGAAGGCAGAAAGAAAGGGGACATCTTGTTCTTTTCTGGCCAGAAAAGCAAAACCTGCCCAGAAACCACTAGTGGATGTCTATGTGAACACCGTGGCCAGAGCGGGGTCACAGAGGGCCAGAAGGACCCAGAGAATGAGACAGGCCTTCTCAGCCCCAAGAATGGTGACAGCTGGGCAGAGGAACCATGGTGTTCATTGATTAATAGTATCTCCCAGAGAGGTCAACCCTCATTGAATGATTCAAGTGCATATCCCCAGCTGGATTTCTCTGAGGACAGAGCTGAGCCCACACTTCTGGCTGACAGTCCAGGGTCTGGGGCTTTGTGCCCCTACCAGTGGGAGGGATCTGGACTGTACCAACTAATGTGTGCAGCAGATGTGGCCTTCAGAGAGGAAGCTGGAGCCCACAGAGGGACAGTGATCTCCACCTGGTAGGAGAGGGCACAGCCCTCAAGTGTCCCAGAGTCTGAGGCTGTCTGTGCTGCTTCCTTTGGGGGGTTCAGAACAAGCTTCAGTTCCTGTGTCTCTGGGGTTAGATTAGGGGAAGCGCTCTGAGATCCTCAGCTTTCAAGTCCCACCTTGTCCAGGTTCAAGCCAGGTGGGGTCCTATGGCCTGCAGATGGGTTCCAAGTGGACCAGGGTCCTCAGTCAGAGCCAACCACACGCAGGACCCGGGTGGCCTGAGGGGCTGGACCGGTTGCCTTTGGCCATGACCTGCCTTCTCTACTTACCTTGAAATGCTCTCTATTTCTTTTGGTGCCTTGATACTTATTGGGAAACTCTGACTCAACCTGTTTGTGCCTTAGTTTCCTCACCTGAAAAATGGGGTTCATTTTAGGGCCTACATCATGAGGCAAGAATTAAACGGGATCTAAAAAGCACTTCACGTTGTGCCTGGCACGTACTTAGCACTCACAGATGTCGCTGTCAGGGGTTGGCCCTCTCGCGGCTGGAGACCTCTCATCTGTGGGGGGGCATTCATGCATCCACTCCACACTCTGGAGCAGACTGAAAGCCCCGTGCCACCAGCACACTCCATGCGTCCTGTATCTCAGCCTGTCCCCACTTGGCTTTACTCATTCCTGCTCACATGGTAGGGAACATGGCCGCAGTGACCCCAGATTCACTGCTTTTCAAATTTGGTGGCCCAACCTACTACTTTCCAGTGCCTGTGCATAAAGTCCCAGGGAAGAGGGCCGGCTGACCCAGCCTGGGTGACAGACCCAGGGGTAGGGCGCCTGAGGCAAGGGTGCTGGCATACTCCGTGGGACCAGGGCCAGAACGTGCCCACCACCCTGCAGTCTGGGGAAGATGGGGGCGGGGCCGCTCCACAAGGCCACGAGGGGGCTGTTGCCAGGAGACAGAAGAAGGACGCAGGTCAGACAAAACCAGCAAAAGTCCAGCCAGGGAACTTCCTTTCTGGAAGCAAAATTCCAAAGAAATATAAAGGCTGTAACATGGCACCCAGCACAGGGCAAACGAAAGAGCGGACGTTTGGGCCTCAGAGCCAGATGTTGAAAGTTTTTTGGGAGTCTGTTGTGTAACGTTGTATTGTGATGTTCTAGAAAGTCAGAGGTCCTGGTACATGTGGATGGCTCCCCTCCTCTAGGGTGGTCCCATCCACATAAGAATGTGCTGCCTACCCATGAGGCAACATTGGAAGAAGAGGCCCGTGTCTGTGAGGATGCCTCCTGTACCTCGTTGCTCTGGAACCAGGATCCTGCCATTGCTTGGGCTCAAGTTTTGGGGGCTAGAGATAGCTTCTGCTGGAGGCGCAAGCCAGAGAAACTCTGGAGCACATGAGGGAGCAGCACCATGGTCTCTGGGATGTTCTGATGGGATGACCTGGGGTATAAATAATCATGGTGCCCTTGTGTAGAGGAAATGGTGAGAAATAAATGTACGCTT